CTTAATTTTTTCTCTAATTGTCCTTTTGGGAATGCTAGATAAAGGCTTACATATACAACACATTGTTGCGGTATGAATTAGAACATGACCTGAAGGAAGAGAAGGTGCCAAAGAGTGGATGCGGATTCAAATGTTAAAGGGGTAATGTGCATTCACGTCTTTAGACATTGTGTTACTGGCCATTTTGTTTACCATGCATACATAGCTAAAGAATGGAGCGCTGAGATATAAGGGCACCCCTTTGACTAAAGTACTCTGGCTCCTTTATAACCTTCATACTACATGAGCTAGCTTCCCCTATAATGTGTTGACTGGCATATGTGCCATATGTGTATGCCCAGTACAAGGACATGGTTTTTGAACCCCTACACTAATTGTTATTATCACTATTTTAATGTGTCGTTTTATGATTTTTCTATTATTTGTGTTTTTCGTAAATGCTTGAATTTATTTGTTTTAAACATTCCTAGTTTGCTTTCTGTGTTTCGGAGTTCTATAAGAATTATTTTAATAATTTTTTTGTACATTTTTGCAATGCTTAATATGACTATAAGAAATAAATGTCTTCCATTAGAACGTGGGTGAAGGCTTGCAGATAACACGCACATTTTTAGGCATGAAGTAGAACACAAACTGCAGGGAAAAAGGCGTTGAAGAGGATGCAGGCTTGAAAGTGGAAAGGATTGTAGACTTCTACTAAGTCGGGCTATGAGACCATTTAAAAATGACCTTTTTATTCGGGCCTGAAGAAATGTGAGCACTACATAACTACTTCAGCGCCTTTTAAACCTGTAGACCACAGGATCTAGCTTTGTTAACTGTTGACTAGCGCATCAGCCATCTGTTATGCCGTGTAATGGGTTAGCTTACCCATATAATATGTGACCTGGCACACGTGCCATCTGTTGTGCTATGTCAAGTGCATGACTTTTATTGTTCATGCTATTATTTTTATTGTTGTATCTATTTTCATCACTTCTATGATTCTATCTGTCAGTGTGCAGCGTTATTCCCTATTTCTGTTATTTGTATTGTCTTCCTATGATTATCATTTGGTTCGTGTATGCGTGCTCATTTGTTTCCTGAAAAGGTTTAATCATCTGTTTCCGTTCCATATTTTGAGCGTACCTCTCTATCCAGTTTTACCTTCTAAATGTAATAAAGTAGCTTTGTGGTTTGTTACTTAGTGTTAGTATTTTGTTACTATTGTTTGCGTATATAGTTGTATTTGATCATAAATACGCATTATCATAAGATTTTAAATCTAGAGCATCTTATGGTCTCCACATATTACCTAATGCTTTGAATTTTGGTTTAGCGTATTGACTTTCGTTAAGCCATTATTCTTTTACTTGGTGTACATGTCTTCAGGTACTTACGATTATCCAATTTTAGCTGCTTTTTTCATGTGTGATGCCATGCAAATATGATGTGGCTAGTTTATAATGACAATTACTTTCTACCTCTACCGAATTACCATATACCATAAAATATATATTTTGCAGAGTTGTTTTCTCTGTGTTTGCAGGTTACTCGCTTGATGTTACATAAAGTCATAAAGGATAGCGAAACATGTCATTTGATCAGGTGAGTGAAAAAAAAATTAACTGTATAGAAATCATGATATATGCATTTGTGTTTCCTGTGTGCTTGCAGGTTATTGTGTGATGCTACGGAGAAAGTAGTGAAACACATCATTTGATCAGGTGAGTAAGAAAAGTTCAGAGTTGCTAAAATATAGAAATCATGATATATGCATCTGCATTAAAATCTGTAGAAATTGGATTATCTTCACTATCGAACAGAGGCGGGGTGTCTGTCATCATAATCTTTTCATGAGTATTCAGAACACATAGAATCCCTTCCTAAATCGTGAACAGAAGACAGTTTTTATGGGAATTTCTGAATTGTCCCGAAAACTACCCTGAACAAATGGGCAATCAAAAATTCCTAAACCCACTAGGCACAAAAAACCCAAAATTGTTGAGAACCTGATTGATGGATATTCAAATTTACACTTGTCTCTCAATAATTTGACACCATGGAGAACATATCTGACTCCATAGATGTGTATTTGAATGCATAAAAACTTGAAGAATACTTCTCTAAGATATCCGCAGTGCATGTACAGTAGATGTATAAATATGGAGTGTTTGTGTTCCTTGGGGAAAAAAAATGACCCAGAGCCTAGGTGGATTTCAAACATTGTACTCCATTTGATCTCACCATTAATATTGGCACAAAGATGTAAATAATTGATGTGAAGGATAAAGAAATAAGGTGAGCCAAAGAAAAATTGACATGTAAATGAGGAATATCTTATACCATTTTATTTCCGAATCAACGTTTGGGAGAAATTAGATATACCTTTCTGAACCAGAGAAACCACACATGAGCACAAAACTCTGAAAAGCAAGGAGGTTTAGTTTTGTCAAGAGATATTAAGTGCACCTGGCACACTAAGTGTCATGAGTTTCATGTTGTGCATGTTTGGCATTGCAAGACATGCCGAACCAATTGTCACAACTAACTTACCTGGACGGGGTCTATGGGCGATCATGAAGGTCCATGGCCTAGGTTGGTGACCTCCATTGCACTCAGGATGGGCGCACTTAAGATATCTCCAAGTGGGATAGTGAACGCGTACCCTGCGAAAAAAAATAAAATTTGTCACAACTATTGTTTGGCAAAAACTTTCAACCTCTTGTCGTATATATGACACATTTTTATCATTACCAATTCTGTTCTTTTAAAGGTTTATTTGGTATGCAGGCACACAGAATATTTTCATAGTTCAAACACATGGTCGAATGGTTTGGAATCTTTAGACATCTAGCAAAAATAGTCAATATTAGGGAATGTGAACTGTTGATTTTTTTTTTGTTGGATGACAGACACCCATAAGGGCTACACTTGGTTGTACAATATGACAAAGGCTACAATAGTGTGATTTACCTGAGATTAGAAAATTGTATTAGAGTTCTGCAGAATGGTTCTGAAACTGTTCCTTAGTTTGTCCCTGAATCTACAAGGGAACTAGTGGAACCACTATGAAGTTCCACCAGAGTTCGTATATGATATAATTCGGGTAGGTCTATAACTAGGGACCTCCACTGTACTCAAGGTACACACAGCTTGCATAGCAATGACGATTTTATAGAAATGAAACTTAATGTAGCTTTGAGGGTTGGGAGTTGGGACGAGACCAGATCATCTACTCTAGGGTGTGGAAGTTAAATTTTTGCTCCCTCTCAACTCTTACCGCAATAATATTTTATAGGCTATGGCCATGACTAAAAGTGTGTTTTTTGCATGGGAAACCAGGAGGGACCAGATGTTTAATCTCTGTACCAGGAGAAGATGAACTAAAATCTGAAACACCTAAATTTGAATTGCACTTTTGAGGTACAACGAGATTCAAAATAGTTTTGAGTTACCTCAGTTTTTTTTTTGTCACGGACCGTGTTAAGTATGTGATGCAATGATGGTGCCTTACTGCCTTTCGCATTTCAAAGGTGGAATGTGCATAGAGTAGTCCATTCATTTTCTGTGAAATTTCCTGAAGATCTGTAAAGATTCTGGGGTTTCATAAAGCGGGGTTGACATTTACTCTGATGGAAGCAGGGTTTTTACATTGGTCCCTTACCAAATAAAGCACGTAGGTCGGTTACATTCTCAAGCATTGCTTTCCTGAAGCATCATCATATACTATTTTCTTAATATCTTCAGAAAAGGAACTACTTATAATATCAATACAATGTAAGGTACGGATATCTTTTGCAAGTGCTTCTGCAAAAGATGTGTTTGGTGTCAAACTGCACCATCTGCCCTACAGATGTGTTTGGTGTCAAACTGCACCATCTGCCCTACAGATGTGTTTGGTGTCAAACTGCTCCATCTGCCCTATGAGTGCTTTTATACGGTTCACCATTTGCTTCAGCTCCCAAGGTTGAGTTGAAACATGCTTCAAAAAGGAGACCACATTAGAGGAATCTGTTTGTGCCTTAAGCTTCCTAACGTTGTTCCTTAGTGCTAGCTGTAACCCTTGTAGTTCAATGGCTGCAATTGTCCTATAGGTTGAGGCTCCCTTGCTGGCAGCTAGCACTGCACCTAAATGATCTCGAATCACGGCAGCCCATCCTCCACTGTTTACCTGGAGTGTACCATCTGTATTCAATGTAAAACTGCCCTGTTCAGGTGGCTCCCAAGTCCCACCTGCAATAATCCCAAGTCCCACCTGCAATAAGTTCTTACTGGTATAACCTCCTGTATGCTCACATTCTACAGGTCCATGAGCTGATGATCTCTATCTGGTCCTGCATTCATTTTGTAGCTAACATGTAGTTTGGAAAGAAAACAAAATATAGTCCAACACGATTTTTATCAGTCAAGCAACTATCTACCAGTACCACTGCACCAGATATTTATATTTCTACTTAATTGCATTAGTCTTATGCTGGGAAGGTAGTGATTTCATTTGTGGTTGTAGAAAAATATTATATTTTCAAATTCTAATAGGGCTTAAAATGTTGCGGAATTGGTTCAGTAAAGCCTCTTTTATTAATTTGGTTTGGCTGATCTCACAATCAACACTGTAAATGGTGCTTTTGTAGTTAGAATTTGAATTTAGAGTGAGGTTGAATAAGATGTGGGGGCGATGAATGGTGGGAGGTAATGGCTAGTGGGGTAGTATAATGTGATGCCCAGAAATATCCGATCTCAGGTTTCATTCTGACAACAGTTTTCAGTTATAATATAGACAAAATGTAGGTCTTGTGTCTGCTTCAGTCCATTTACATTCTTATGTGATTATGTCTCTCATCTAGCTATATATGTATTAGAACATTATTATAGCTTTATATATTCACGTAAAGGAATTTCAGCGCTCAATTACATTCTCCTTTTTGGTTTGGTTGACATGATCGTATTGGCTTTCACTGCGCTCTGCAAGCTGCCAGGTCACAACCATCAGTTGGGCAAGTCACCTGAGGTATCATGATACAGGTGTATCCTTTTAGGAGCTTATTAGTGATCCTCGAGATATCTTAGGTAACACATTGAAAGCCTGTTCCGGTGCCATTATCGCTGCAAAACCCATTGCCATTTGTTGGAACAAATTTGAAGTCTGACAGCCCAGTTCAGAAAACTGCGGTCTGTCAGATTTTGCAACGCATTTTTCGAGTACTTCCAGGTATCGAAAAGTTGCGTTCTTAGGTGGAATGGATTCCCCTTGTCAAGTACTACAAAATGGTATATTCGAGAATCAAATTTGGATCCAAGATGAATGAGAAATTAACGTCCAAAGTCGAGTACTTTAATGGACAAATTGGTTGAAATGAGATAGTCCCACCTTGTGAGATGGATAACTTGGAAACACCTATAGATATAAATGGTTGAACATAAAGGGTGTAGCCCTTTGGGTTACCACTAATATGTAATGGAGCGGAGCCATGCATGGGCCATGGCCCAAATCCAAACACCACACGCACGGGCCCAAAATGATATTAGACAAGTCTTGATCCAATCCAAACCAGGCCGATCGGACGGCGGCGCGTGCGTGGTGTTTGGACTTGGGCCATGGCCCATGCATGGCTCCGCTCCATTACACATTAGTGGTAACCCAAAGGGCTACCAAAAAGATATTAGACAAGTCTTGATCCAATCCAAACCGGGCCGATCAGACGGCAGCGCATGCGTGGTGTTTGGACTTGGGCCATGGCCCATGCATGGCTCCGCTCCATTACACATTAGTGGTAACCCAAAGGGCTACACCCTTTATGTTCAACCATTTATATCTATAGGTGTTTCCAAGTTATCCATCTCACAAGGTGGGACTATCTCATTTCAACCAATTTGTCCATTAAAGTACTCGACTTTGGACGTTAATTTCTCATTCATATTGGATCTGACAGACCGCAGTTTTCTGAACTGGGCTGTCAGACTTCAAATTTGTTCCAACACCATTATATTTTTGTAAGCATTATTGTCGACAAGGTCCAAGTTAACAGCCTGAACCTAATATAGTTTCACATCTTTTTTGGGCATATGCTTATGGTACCATTGCTAAAACTGCATTAATATACAAAACATGGATGTTGTTGCATGCAAGCATATATACAAACCTGAGAATACAATTAACACAATAAAGAAGATGTGTTGGAGCTATTTGCAGGAGGGATGATATGATGGAAGAGTAGAAGCCGGCCTATTCGACAAAAAGATATAAAGCTGAAAGTATTGCGGCGGAGGTATAGCTGAACTATTTTTACCATTAGCTTTGGACCTTCAACAAACAGCTATCAGTACCACTGAACTTTTCTGCAAGCTTGGGCAAGAAGAGACAGGTTGGATGAATTACCATCCACCTGAGTTATTTGTGATGTCTGTAAGACCTCCTTTACAATGGGTGGTAAAATGTCTCCTATGTATCTGTATCTTTATGTGTTATATAGATTGTCACAATGTAATAATGTAAGGTATTATTATGGCTGTTTAATTATCTTGTTAATACTATAATTTAGTTTTGAAATGAATACAGATTGATTTCTTAAACACCTCTTACCACCCTCAATTTGTTGTCACTCGATCAGCTCTGGCGTGTAATATAATTCATTCAATGAATATGGTTTCTTCTGTTTCTGTTGGTGTGGAAAATCAAACATCAGCTAGCTAGCTTATTAGTAATTTGGGGTTGTTGCCAAATATATCAAGAATTAAATTTAAATATTGATTAAGAACTCTGTAATTAATTAACAACTTTTATACATAAATTAAGTTCCTCATCAATCCAATATTATGTTATTGTACTCTTTCGTTCTACATACTAATTGCAAGAAGAATTAATGTGAACAAACTTCTTCTCTTTATACAATTGAACAAGAAATACATATCTGTCTCGATCTACATGTAGTCTTTGTGAGTTGTGACAAAAGCTTTTTGCATTTACATACAGCTCTAAAATTACTAATTAAGCCAAACAAAAAAACAATTTAACCTCAACACTTTCTTTCTCTTTTTTTTTTGAATCTCCTATTCTATCTTTTTTTATGAGAAAGAGATTCAAAACCTCTTTAGTTTCTTGAACAAAAAAAAACCCAAGCTAGTTGAGACATCTCTTCTCTTCTCTTCTCTTAATTTAGCTAGCTATCTAGGATCTTATACACCATCTCCCAAACCTCTAGCTTCTGACCCTTTCATGATTCTCAACCTTTTGCAAGAAGAAATGAACATGTTCCATGGTACATCTCCAACCAACATCCAATCACCATCTTTATCTTCATATGTAGGTGCATGTTCAGATCCATTGTAGCCTTCTCTTTCTGAATAAGTACCAATTGTGATTTTAAACATGTTTTCTAATGCCTTGAGAAGTTCTAAGTAACCATTATAGACTTTAAGATCAATCTTTCTTAAGTAAGGTGCTCCATCCATGCTAACTTTCACATAAATTCCACATGTCTCAGCTTCATCCTTCTTTGCTTGGAAACTATTTTTCCTATAAGATCTGATTGGTGGCCATCCAACAACTTGTTGTCTGCACATATGAAAAAAATATATGAAAATTAGTAAACCAATCAAGTTAGCAGCAGGTGGCCATCTAAATTATGTGTCTTAACTAATATAATCTATACTTAATTAAGATGATCGATGACTTACTTAGCAGCAGGTGCAGTTTCCTCATGACCACCTCTTGCATCAGATACACTAG